AAGTCAAATCGGACACCCTTAGCGAACCATTTTTTATTCGAATTTTTTTATCTCCTCACCATTTTCAATTATATGTATATTGTTATCCTCAAAATGACCTTCAGCTGGCCACCTCGTTCTCCTTATCTTAATACCTTGCGATTTTTTTATATGAGGAGCATCAAAAACAAAGGGAATCATCAAGGAATAATGACATCTTAAAGAAAACAGGCTCGAATTTTGGGCTAGTTAGCTTGGTCTACTTGTTGGATGTTTCTGTTTCTCCAACCCGAGGCAAGTTGCAGCTTTGTTATTACAAATCATCAGGCATCAGTGACCGGTGGTCAGTCATGTGGAAACTCATCTGTACAGCAGTATGCTCATTATCATATCGTTATGTAATTTAAAAGGAATGCCGGCATTGTGCTTCGTGCTGTCGTTTCCACATAATCGCGTACTTATTCCGAGGATTCATACTGAATAGATTTTCGTTTTTTTTATACCGAAGCAGTAGCGAAATTAGCGAAAGTTGATTGGATAAAAATTGCTGAAAAATCAGTCGGAACATCGATTCATTGGTTATTTTCGCGATGGTTTTGTTGAAAACCCCATGACTTATCACTACCATACGTTTACGAATATGTCATTGCAAAGGAACTTTATTGCATTTTTCCACACAATTAGATTCTTAATTGGTGAAATCACACAAATCGAGCATCCGTTTTTATCGTTATCACCAGAATATTTGAAGCGTGAGATTTTATCTCCGGAAACTAAACAAGACAAACTGATTGATTTGCCTTCAATATCAATGAGCAAAAATCACTAATCTTCTCTTGAGCACCCCTACTTAAAAAGATAAGAACATTCATAATTTGCCCATAAATATGGTTTATCTTGGAAATTTTCATTTGCTTGTTATTTCATCGCCAGTCACAAACCACGAATTCAGACTTGGTAGACGAAGACAGTCACGGTTTCGTTTGTCTCTTTATGCTCAAAGTCTGTAGCGAGGATAAAAGTGCACTTGACATACGTCACTTTTTTGACAGTTCCGTCATTAAATTCGTAGTTATAGTGTTACTTTTCGAAAGTGCGAGAGATAGCAGATAATTTCAGACGTGTTACTTATTACATAATTTGCAAATAGCAACGTAAGCCTCCGGTAAGTATCATTTTTATATTGATACAACTCTGTCACTTTGGCAGACAAATAAGTCAAAAATATGCGCCAAAACTATACAGCTCTGGTGACAGACATTGCAATTAGAAGCTACCCATCTGTTTTAGAGCGTTAAAAAATTGAAGAATAATTTTGCAACGGTCACGTAACCGTATCATGTTGTAATGGGAGAAACACGTATAAGAAGTATTTTGAAGTCTGGGCTTCTATGAAAAACCATCCTTAAATACTAAATAATACTCCGGCACATCACACTCGGCCAGATCGTGACCGCTACGTTTACAAAAATGCAACATTCATAAAGGTGGATCAGGCTGCGCGGTCGGATTTGATTGCCTCCAAGATCGTTGGACTCTAAATGCATTAAATTACGGTTGCTTTAGAAAAATAATCAAGTTTAATTCTCAATTTCAATTCTTAATTTCAATTGTCAATTTCATCTCATCCTCAACTTAATTATCATTGAATTCTCAATTTAATTCTCAATTTCCATTATCAATTCAATTATCATTCAATTATAATTTCAATTATCATTTCAATTATCAAATTTCAATTTTCAATTATCAATTATCAATTATCAATTTTCATTATCAATTATCATATTCAATATCAATTACAATTTCAATTATCAATTTCAATTATCAATTTCAATTATCAATTTCAATTATCAATTTCAATTATCAATTTCAATTATCAATTTCAATTATCAATTTCAATTATCAATTTCAATTATCAATTTCAATTATCAATTTCAATTATCAGTTTCAATTATCAATTTCAATTATCAATTTCAATTATCAATTTCAATTATCAATTCTGAATTTCATTTCTCATTTCAATTCTCAATTTCAATTCTCAATTTCAATTCTCGATTTCAATTCTCAATTTCAATCCTCTATTTCAATTCTCAATTTCAACCCTTAATTCAATTCTCAATTTCAATTCTTAATTACAATTTCAATTATCATTTCAATTATCAATTTCATTATCAATTTCAATTATCAATTTCAATTATCATTTCAATTATCAATTTCAATTATCAATTTCAATTATCAATTTCAATTATCAATTTCAATTATCAATTTCAATTATCAATTTCAATTATCAATTTCATTATCAATTTCAATTATCAATTTCAATTATCAATTTCAATTATCAATTTCAATTCTCAATTTCAATTCCCAATTTCAATTCTCAATTTCAATCCTCAATTTCAATAATTATCAATTTCAATTCTCAATTTCAATCCTCAATTTCAATTATAAATTTCAATTCTCAATTTCAATTCTCAATTCCAATTCTCAATTTCAATTCACAATTTCAATTCTAAATTTCAATTCTCAACTTAAATTCTCAACTTAAATTCTCAATTGAATTCTCAATTTCAATTATCAATTTCAATTATCAATTCTCAATTTCATCCTCAATCTCAATTCTCAATTTCAATTCTCAATTTCAATTATCAATTTCAATTATCAATTTCAATTCTCATTTCAATTCTCAATTTCAATTATCAATTTCAATTCTCAATTTCAATCCTCTATTTCAACCCTTAATTTCAATTCTCAATTTCAATTCTCAATTACAATTTCAATTCTCAATTTCAATTCTCAGTTTCAATTCTCAATTTCAATTCTCAATTTCAATCCTCAATTTCAATAATTATCAATTTCAATTCTCAATTTCAATCCTCAATTTCAATTCTCAATTTCATTCTCAATGTCAATTCTCAATTCCAATTCTCAATTCCAATCTCTTCCAATTCTCAATTCCAATTCTCAATTCCAATTTCCATTTCAATTCACAATTTCAATTCAATTCAATTCTCAACTTAAAATTCTCAATTATCAATTCAATTCTCAATTTCAATTCTCTACAAAGTTGATTTAAATGATTTATTGAATAGTTGGATAATAAATAAAATAATAATATTGTAATACCCTGTTCAGCAACAGTTTTCTGACTGTTTTTAATGACTATCATTTATCAACAGAGTATTGTGATATACAGTGCTGGTAGTGAATTTTCTCTAGAAATTATGGAAATTACTGTAGAAAAATGGAACAACGTTAACATTGCTGCTAATAAAGGTTGCATCGTAGACTTGAGTAAGTGAGATTATAATCGGAAGACAGAAATTTTCGTCAATTATAACTAGGCGACAGAAAAGATTACCGTTATCAAACCATTATCAAACAAATTGGTCTACTAATAAGAGTAAGTGCTTTTTAATTTTGAACTTTAACAGAAATTATTATTCATTGCTTTTGTTTTTTTATACATTTTAAAACATTATATAACTAAATAGTAAAAGGAAAAATCATGTAATCGTATATTGGTTGCAAAAGTTTTAAATTGTCAATATTTAAAATCTTAAGATCTGCGAGCTATTTAAATTTATCAAATTTTCAGATTTTCAGATATCAAAATTTCGGTAAAATCGTCAGAATTATCACGATTTTAAAAATTTTCAAAATATTTTGAAAATACGAGTAGGTATTGAAAACGTAAACTTCAAAAAGTTTAAAATTTTGAAAAAAGTGAAAATTTTTTTATTTTAAAAGTTTCGAAAATGTTGAAAATTCTTTAAATTTTTAATTTTGAAAACTGAAAATTTAAAAAAATTTGGAATGTTGAAGAAATTGAATATTTTGATCAGATCGAAAATTTTTAATATGTAGAAAACTATTCAAATTCTGAAAACTCTGGAAACGTTGATATACGAAAACGTTGATAATTGAGATATTCGTTATCATTTTTGAAAATATTGAAATGTTTGAAAATTTTGAAAACGATAAAACTTTGAAAACTTTGAAAATTCTGAACATTGTGGAACTTTTGAAAATTTTGGGAATAATTGAAATTTGCATATGTTGAAAATACTAAAAATCTCAAAAATTTTGAAAAATGTGAAGATTATTTTCAATATTTCGGAAATTTTGAGAACGTTGAAAATTCTGAAAATTTTTGACATTTTGAGGATTTTGAAAGTATTGAAAATTTTGGGAATTATGAAAATTCTTAAATATTAAGAATTTGGAAAATTTTGGAAATGAATTATTGGTACCACTGTCTACATTCTTTAATATTAAGTTATTACTAATTGTAAATAATAGCTTGGATATCCAACGAATTAGAACTACCTTGCTCCAGAGTAGACTAAAGTTTTGCGCAGTGTTGTTTAAAAAGAAGAAAACATTTTTCTACCAAGGATCCTGCGGAACATAAAACAGTTATTGTTAATGCAGTTATAATCTTCATTAAAGGCAGATGACGCCATATAATACCACGGCAAGTACCATCATTTTCAATACTTTTACCACGATCCAAGGTGAGGATGGCTGTAGACCTTAATAGTTACTGCCATAACAATAAAACAACATAACCGCCGTCGAAGGTAGATCGATGGCACTGATGTTACGTAACAATTACAGAATAACTGAATTAATAAACGGCTTAGATTAATTGCACTGTTGATGCAAAAAATATTTTGTTTGTACTCTTTGCAAACGGATTTCATGCTTGTTCTTCGGTGATTTGTAGATTCTTACTTTTATTAACATTCTGAGATGCTTTTGTAAATGATGACTTAACCGTTTTTATAACTACGCATATTTTTTTCTTTTGCAACGATTTACCCACGCCTTTTTGAAACCTCCAACGAAGGCGTAGTGAGTATAGAGTCAATCTACTTGACGCCACTTTTATATTCAAATGTGGTTTAGGTACCTTAGTGCCCCAAGGCCTTCATATCAGATATTACGATCGAAAAGTCCAATAAACTTCTATTTTATTACTAGTAATAAATCAGGTCTTCAAACCGTCCAAATTGTTGCAGGTTCTAAGGCAGACGAAGATGGCCAAAGCAGACAAGAAAAAGAAAATGTCCGAAAAAGGCGGCGCGGGCGTGCAGAAATCCACCAACGGAGACTCAAAAGCCGTCAACATCGATTCGATGACTTGGAAGGAGCGGTACGACTTCCTGGTGGATAACATCACCGTGGAGCCCATGTTGGCTTGCTACATCATCCCCAGCGTGTTGGCCAGTTTGGCCACGCAGAATCTCAATTTGGAGAAGGCGTGTCGCGTGAACTTGGCGTACTCCGAAGAGGTAAGAGATCTTAGTATAAAGGTCTTTCAGGCATTTTTTCTTTCTTTCCAGGAGCTCCCTCTATGCCTCCTGGGAGAACAGCAACAACTGACAGGAGAAGTCACTTGGGTTCATTGTATTTTGCTTCTCGAACTTACAGTCCCCAACCCAGTAGTCTAGTGTCTTATACCAGTAGGTAGTTTCCCAGCCGGTTCCATTTTAAACTAAATTAGAAGGGTTCTATGCCTCCTGGGAGAACAGTAACAACTGTCGGGAGAAGTCTCTTGGGTTCATTGTACCTTGCTCTTCGAACTACAGAACCCAACCTAGCCGTCCAGTGTTCTATACCAGTTGGTAGTTTCCCTGCGGGTTCCAATTCAAACTAAATTAGAAGGGCTGGGACCTCTATGCCTCCTGGGAGAACGGTAACAGCTGTCGGGAGAAGTCTCTTGGGTTTATTGTATCTTGCTTCTCGAACTTACAGTCCCCAACCCAGTAGTCTAGTGTCTTATACCAGTAGGTAGTTTCCCAGCCGGTTACATTTTAAACTAAATTAGAGGGGTTCTATGCCTCCTGGGAGAACAGTAACAACTATCGGAGAGGTCTCTTGGGTTCATTGTACCTTGCTCTTCGAACTACAGAACCCAACCTAGCAGTCCAGTGTTCTATACCAGTTGGTAGTTTCCCTGCGGGTTCCAATTCAAACTAAATTAGAGAGGCTAGGACCTCTATGCCTCCTGGAGAACAGTAACAACTGTCGGGAGAAGTCTCTTGGCCTTATTGTATCCTTGCTCTCGAACTTACAGTCCTCAACCCTGTAAAGTCTAGTGTCTTATACCAGTAGGTTAGTTTCCATGCCTGGTTCCATTTTAAACTAATTAGAGGAGCTAGGACCTCTACGCCTCCTGGGAGAACATGCAACAACTGTCAGGGAGAAGTCTCTTGGGTTTCATTGTACCTTGCTTCCTCGAACTTACCGAACCCAACCTAGCGTCCCGTGTCTATACCAGTAGGTAGTTTCCCTGTCGGTTCCATTTAAACTAAATTAGAGGGGCTGGGACCTCTATGCCTCCTGGATAACGGTAACAACTGTCAGGAGAAGTCTCTTGGGTTTACTGTATCTTGCTTCTCGAACTTACAGTCCCCAACCCAGTAGGTCTAGTGTTCTTATACCAGTAGGTAGTTTCCAGCGGTTCCATTTTAAACTAAATTAGAGGGGTTCTATGCCTCCTGGGAGAACAGTAACAACTGTCAGGAGAAGTCTCTTGGGTTGATTGTACCTTGCTCTTCGAACTACAGAACCCAACCTAGCAGTCCAGTGTTCTATACCAGTTGGTAGTTTACCCTGTCGGATCCATTTTAAACTAAATTAGAGGGGTTAGGACCTCTATGCCTCCTGGGAGAACAGTAACAACTGCCGGGAGAAGTCTCTTGGGTTTATTGACCTTGCTCCGCGAACTTACAGTACCCAACCCAGCAGTCTAGTGTTCTATATCAGCTGGTAGTTTCCCTGCCCCGAGACCAAAATTCTAGATCGAACGAAATACCAAAGACACAACCTGCAATGGGCAACTACCTGGTACACTAACGGGTCGGAAACTGAGCGGGGAACAGGTGCAGGTTTATATGGAAATAGGTGCAATCTTGGATATAGTAACCGGAAGACCCGCCTCTGGATTTCATGCAGAAGTGTATGTAATCTTGCATTGCGCAAGAGTAAATAATCCCTCACAATTTTCCTTGTACTGGTTTCTTACCCATTCTTCAAGGTCTCTTTCTAGGTCATACTTATTGCATTTTCCCTTATGTATTTGAAACCTTCATCGGTACCCTTTTTGAAAAAACGTGGTTGCCGATTTTTTGCGATGCTCGGATATTCAACGAAATGTAGAATACAGAATTCGGTATGGTTGTAAATCAAGATTATATAGAACCTCTTATAGGTCTGTGATGCTCTAACAGCAAGAAGAACTCAAAACTATACGATGGAAGAGAAACAAGTACAACAATTGGTAGCGTCTATGGGAGTTTGGAAGACGATGTTGCAGAGCGCCTTACCAGCGTTCCTTATCATGTTCGTAGGTTCTTGGAGTGACAGGTACGAAACACCACAATAATATATCGATGCTGCTACTTTAAATACGGTTATTGTGTTGTCCATATTATTTTAATTTACGCTGAGTGTTTTCGAAACGCTACCGAGGCTCCGCGAGTGCATGCAGATCGTTTCTCAAGATGCTTCGTGATTTCTTTTTTTGTTTGAGGCAAAATTAAATGGTCAGTGTATAAAACAGTAGCTTTGTTAACAAACGTAGTTGTTTTTTGACTTGTTAAGCTCAAAATGAGTGGAAAATGATTTGTAGCATCTTCTATCTTTACTATTTTCTTCTTTTTTCCTCTCCTAATCATCAGCGTTGCCAGATGTTAAAGAAATTACTCAGATATGCGATATTTCAGAACAGTTAAAACAATTCCATATATCTTCTCCATCAGGGTATGTAATGTGCGATTTCTCCTCAGGTGGGGAAAACGGAAACCTTGCATGCTCTTCCCAATATGTGGGGAATTCATGACAGTTGTTGGACTGATGGTTTGCACGTATTTCTTCGACGAATTACCGATGGAAGTGGCTGGATTCGTCGAAGGTTTCTTCCCAGCTATTACTGGAGGATGGTTCACCATGTTCATGGGGGTGTTCAGTTACATTGCTGACGTCACCACTGTTGACGTAAGGACGCTTAGGATAGGTGAGAAATGAAAAACGAAAAATCAACGTTATATCAAAATCCACACCAACTTTTAACTTTGTCGCCTGCAAATAGTAACATCCCACACTTCAAGATGTCATGCTAGTCATGCTGGTTAATACTCTACGTATATTCTCGCTTTTCAGGTATAGTGAACGTCTTCTGCTCGCTGGGAATCCCCGTGGGCCTAGCCTTGAGCGGCGTCCTGTACAAAAAAATAGGCTTCTACGGGGTGTTCTCCATCTCAGCCGTCATGTACGTCATGGCCTTCTACTATGGATACACGCGCGTCAAGGAACCGAAGAAACTGGACGTTCCGACGTTGCCGGATCGAAGCTGCGCGTTCATCAGGGATTTCTTCGACGTGAAGCACCTGTTGGACACTTTCAAGGTCGCGTTCAAGGAAGGCGAGAACAAGAGGAAGGTCAAGGTCATGTTGCTGATGCTGGTGGTTATGGTGGTGATTGGACCGATGCATGGTGAGTTTGAAATAAAACACCTCACAAGAAATAGATCCATCGTGATTCCTAAGCCACAAAAAAATACTTTGTTCAGAAGTCACATATTTTTAGACCCAAAGTTATATTATGAAATACCGGCTATAGTCAGAGACTCCAGGTCGTTAGGTATATTTAAGATAAAACTAAAGGTATTCCAAGAGTCACAATACACCAATTAGTTGATCTTTTTAATACTAACAATTACTGAAATGTGACATGTTCAAAAACGTTTCTTTTATAAATATTTTTTTTAACATTTTAAGGCGTAAATTGAATTTTAAGTGTTACGGATTTTGGTAATCAGAGTAGATTTATTATTCACATGCACAAGGCTATGCCTTCTATGGGTTTTTTATTTGGTAATTTGCATATTTCTGTAGGTATTGTTATATTTTAAAGCAATTTTGAATTTGAATTTTGAAAAGTGATTTTTGCTATGTTCCGAGAAATTGGGTTTTACAATTTTCTACCAGCAAGGCTAAGTCACGGCCTTACAGACGGCTTCGACATACAATAATTTATACAGACTGATTCTAAATAGTGTATTGTGGTATACTATCAGAGGTGACAAAATAAAATAGTTTTCTTCCCACTATTTTAAATAATCCATCTTCTCAATTATAATTTTTTTATTTATATTCGTAGGAAAATCTTTCTTATTAGTTTGAGTTTCATTTCGGATAGCCCCACATATTGGACTGCAATATTGGAAAAAGTAGCAAATCCACTGAAATATCCCCAATTGGAGCACAATTGCGGTGTTGCAGTGTACGGCGGTCGCGGCGCGACGGCTGGCGAGCCTCTCAGATCATCAAAAATCGAACGGCTTGTTCGCCGTTTCAACTCGGCAGGTCCCTCGATCGCTCTACACAATCTAGTTGCCCATGGTTCAGCACGTAGATGTTTCTGAAGTCAAATCACAGCCGACTGTTTTTGATATATCCTCCTTTCAATCCGGACCCGTTTTTTTTTCAAACCTTGAAAGATGTAGATGTGCGATACCGTACCGAATTTGCATGGTCGTTGCTAATTCAGATCAGGCGCCTATTGTCCTACCAGCAATGCCAAATCTTGGCGAACCTTTATTATAACGAGCTGTGTGACGAATTTCATTATCGTATTTTCATAATTAAAAATCGCTTCATTAATAATATAAAAAAAGTACAAAAGTCGTTCCAACCTGCTTCCGCGTTTCATTTGCACCGTTTTGACTGCGTTCAAGGTTTGATCTATGTACACGTTACATGTGACAGCGATTTCGTGAAAAACACGAAAATTGACACCTAGGTTATAGGGCGTATTGATATAAATGATTATTCTACAGTAATATACTCGTATCTCTTACAATTATATATATATATATCAAAACATACATAACAATAATGGGGAAAATCCGCAAAAAGAGCTGCTCGAAACCACTTTCCTTCTTTCTTCTTCTATCTTCTAGATATATATATATATACTCGTATATAACTTGAGACGTGGTCATTGTCGTCTAGACCAGTTAGGTGAAAAATTAAAGCTTCCGCCTTTTGTTGGGTACTTCGACAGAATTTAAGCAAAAAGGACTCTTTATACTTTTTTAATTCTCTCTAGCTTTCAATGGACTTTGCCATCATCATCAGGAGCTGCAATTACAATGATAACAGTAGCAACAAAAGTGTAAAATGAATTTAAATTGACTCATCCTATACGTAAACAACAATTAGGAACATCCTCACATACTACTGTAAGTTGAGTCAATTTAAATTCATTTTACACTTTTGTTGCTACTGTTATCATTGTAATTGCAGCTCCTGATGATGATGGCAAAGTCCATTGAAAGCTAGAGAGAATTAAAAAAGTATAAAGAGTCCTCTTTGCTTAAATTTTGTCGAAGTGCCCAACAAAAGGCGGAAGCTTTCATTTTTCACCTATATATATATATATATATATATATCTTGGGCCGTGGTCATTGTGGTCTAAACAACCAGGCAGGTGAGGAAAGCTTCAGCCTTAAGTTGGGTACTTCGACAAGATTAAAGTAATGAGGCCTCTTTTTACTTTATTTTTTCAGGCCTTCAATGAACTTTGTCATCATCATCAGGTGCTACAATAACATTCCGCTTCTGTTTTTTGATATATATTTGTTTGGTTGACATTGTCCTGGAAAATTACACTTTTGCAATAAGACTTGGCAACAGTCTATAACACAGACACACACGCTCCATCCACTGACACTGTCACCTATCAACCAATGTCAACTGTCATGTGTCCGTGTAGATGGATGGAACGAAAATTCTTTTGTAAGGCATGTGCTATGTTGCCAAATCACTTCAGATGGTGTGATTTTCAAGATATGTTGGATAAGAAATTATCAAATCGACCAGAGGCAGTTGAATTAACTATATTATTGATGAGATGGGCAATTGAATTAACAGTTATTATTTTATTATGAGAGAACAATTATTCAAATTTGAATGGAATGGAATTTTTTTTGGTGGAATAGACCAAGAAACAGATTCCATTTATGGTTGAGAAAAGTCAAAATTTGGAGAGATGTGTAAGTGCTCCATTTGCTAAACTGCGAAAAATTGGAGCACAGATATATATATATATATATACTTGATATATAACAAAAAGTAGAAAAATATATGTCTCGTATTATACGTGTATATAAATGTTTTGCACCGTTTTGACTTCATTCTGTGTTGAAAGTTTTTCCCACGAAACAGTGATTTCGTAAAAAACGCGAAAATTGACACCTAGAGGGCGTATTGATACGATTATTCTACAGTAATATACTCGTATCTCTTACAAACTTTTATGTAACCTTAATCTTTCTTGCATTGTGCAACAAGTATTGCGTTACTGAAAATATGAATAAAATGAATCAATTACCAGGAAATTTCAATTGCCAAGTTTGTCCACAATCTGATCTGTTGGAGGGCATATGTGTAATCTAGATGAAAAGCTAAGACTTTGCAACAAATCAGTTTAAAGGTATGTCTACCTACATTTCAAAAATTCTTGCGCGTCTTCTATCTGGATCAAAACCACTGATCCACGTCTAGAGTCAAGCGACTTGGCGCCATTTTTGCAAAGATGTACTCACTACGTCCGCCATTTTGATCTTTGACAAATGGATATCATATTCGTTATCAGCGATCTGGAAAACGTAGATTTATTTTTTTTTGTAAATGTAAGTGAGTCTTTCAAATTTTGGCTATATTTTATGATATTTTGGGTTAATTATCAATATTAATGAGTGCCAAAGCATAGTCGAATCCGAACTTATGTCATGTGACGTCACTACCCAACTCAGAATACGTCATAACTTCCTTAAATGTTCAGCTATCGGAATGATTATTTCAGATTTGTGAACTGCGACTGAAATTAGCACTATTTTAGACTATAAGAAGCGTCTTACGCTCCGTTGGAGGGTAAGTATATCTATTGAAAATTTGAATCGTGAACTGTGTGTCCGGTGAATCTGACTCGACCTGACTTGACGGCATTTTTTCTATTGCAAACTAATGAAATATTAATGTCGTTGGCCTGATAAATAACACCGCAGAAGTTGTAAATATTAATAATAAAATCCGAGCTAAGTGCCTCAACAATAGTGCTGGCAATCAACCGTGGCAGCTTGATTGTTTCAGTAATTATTTCTGTAACCTTATTCGTTATGAAATAGAGAATCGGCTGTAAAAACTACCAATCGGAACCTCCAAAAAAATGATCATAATAACAAATGCTGCGAACGATACTGCGCTAACTAGATCAGAATCATTGTGCCAAATAGAAAATTTTTTCTACAGGATAATGGTTGTCTATTTATGTTCTTGGGGCTCCGGTCTCAATGTTTGATAACTGTTTATAATAGCGCTAGAGACTCACAACTATACAGGTTTGACCCTTACCTCAGTATAGATAATATCGCGCCCACCTCGTATGTGTATATCGCGTCGCCGCGCCGTCTGCTACCTGCTTGCATAAGTCACTCGGATCGACTACCAAAGATGCAATATTTACAACCACGTGGTGACCGGTAAGTGCGACCGATAGTTACTGCCGAAAATATTCTTAGTTTTAAGGGCAAATCTATCTGGGAAATATCTCTAACATCAAAAAATTGAGATATATCGTCCCTCACCTACTGCATCCCCCAATTTATAACCTCAAAAATCGTTACGTAAGAGCTGAATAGCATTATGAACCGCAAGTCATCAACCTGTTGTTTCCCTTGCGTGACTGGTCAAGTTTTGCATAAAATATTTTATTCGAAAACAGACACTCGAGGCGTCGTGCATAATCGCATAGATCGAAAGTCATTTGCCATGACCCAGTGCGACTTGACATGGCGGAGTGAGAGAACTGGAATCTCAGCCGATTTACCTGTTGCATTTCGTTTGCTGCCTTGGAATTATTAGATTTATTATTATAAACAAGTTAGCGGCGTATCTGTGTGGACCGGAACAGAAACGAGAACAGGAACAAACAAAATATCTGTTGCGACTCAGCCGTCACCGATTTTCCTATAAACAGATACAGGGTGGCCGATATGTAGCTGACTGGTTTGCATCTTGAATATTTGTGAAATGAAATAAAATACGTCCAGTCTCATCGAATATTTTATCGATTTGTTATATCGGCTCCAGATTCATAGAATTTTGACATAGCTCACTAATTATAATAAGGTATATTTTTTTGATTGCAGGTGAGATGAGCGTTGCCTATCTCTTCACAAGATTCAGATTCAATTGGGACGAAGTGGACTTCAGCGTTTTTTCGACCTACAGCATGGTTACAAACCTGATAGGCAAGTAATATGAGTCTTAAGACTCCTTTTTGGGATTTTTTTTGTCAAAGACGTCTTGGGAATACGTTGACTATTACTGTTGCTTACTGAATTTCGTCAAGATGGGTAGCACGAATCGAAAATTCATGCTTGTTTTTGCAGGTACCCTTCCGGAGAATAATATGTTTCTGGACGATAATACAAATCAGTGGTTTGCAGTCATGAAAATAAAAAATATCGAATTAAGTTATTATTATTTTGATTCGAAAATGTCAATTATCAATATCAAGTTTATTAAATTTTTTGATATCTTAGATTTAACAGAGCAAAGTTATAATATTCATCATTCTGTAAAATGCAATTTGTTGCTTAAAATTCCAAACATTGTTCAAATAAATAATATATCTAAATAAAATAATTCAGTGAAAATAGAAAAATAATTTTACCTTCACTAAACAAACGACTTTAATAAATACGTATAATTAATTTTTTGTATATAGTTCATTTATTTTAAATAAAACCGGTTTATTTAATCTAAGTAAATGGTTAATACATTTTAACTAAACCGATTGCGTTCTGATTTCATCAAAACTAGTTTCATCGAGTCAAATAAACTATCTTAGTAATCGAAGTTTATTTAAACTTAAATTATCAATATCAAGTTTTTCCGATTTTTGGATATCTTAGATTTTAACAGAGCAAAGTGTAAATATTCATCATTCTTAAAAAGCAAATTTAATAAATAAATATAATTAATTTGTTTTATTTGCATGCATTTTGATATTTCATTTATTTCAAATAAACCGGTTTACTTAATCTAAGTAAACGGCGAATAAATTTTACTAAACGATTGCGTTCTGATTTCATCAAACTAGTTTCGTAGATTCAAATAAACAGTCTTAGAAATCGAAGTTTATTTAAACTTAAATTATCAATATCAAGTTTTCCAATTTTTGGTAAAAAATGTACCTTCACTAAACAAACAAATTTAATAAATACATATAATTATTATTTTTTGACTTGCATGCATTTTGATAGTTCATTTATTTTAAATAAACCGGTTTACTTAATCTAAGTAAACAGTTAATTAATTTTACTAAACGATTGCGTTCTGATTTCATCAAACTAGTTTCATAGATTCAAATAAACAGTCTTAGAAATCGACGTTTATTTAAACTTAAATTATCAATAGCAAGTTTTCCAATTTTTGGAAAAAAATTTACCCTCACTAAACAAACGAATTTAATAAATACATATAACCAATTTTTTTTGACTTGCATGCATTTTGATAATTCATTTATTTTAAATAAACCGGTTAACTTAATCTGAGTAAACGGTTAATAAATTTTACTAAACGATTGCGTTCTGATTTCATCAAAACTAGTTTCATAGATTCAAATAAACTGTCTTAGAAATCGAAGTTTACTCAAACTTAAATTGTCAATATCAAGTTTTCCAATTTTTGGAAAAAAAACGACCACTAAACAAACAAATTTAATAAACATATAATTATTTTTTTTGACTTGCATGCATTTTGATAATTCATTTATTTTAAATAAACCGGTTTACTTAATCTAGAAATCTTAGAAATCGAAGTTTATTTAAACTTAAACTATCAATATCAAGTTTTCCAATTTTTGGAAAAAATGTGCCTTCACTAAACAAACGAATTTAATAAATACATATAATTATTATTTTTTGACTTGCATGGATTTTGATAGTTCATTTTTTTAATAAACCGGTTTACTTAATCTAAGTAAACGGTTAATAAATTTTACTAAACGATTGCGTTTTGATTTCATCAAACTAGTTTCATAGATTCAAATAAATAGTCTTAGAAATAGAAGTTTATTTAAATTATCAATATCAAGTTTTCCAATTTTTGGAAAAAAATTTACCTTCACTAAACAAACAAATTTAATAAATTCATATAATTATTAGTTTTTGACTTCCATGCATTTTGATAGTTCATTTATTTTAAATAAACCGATTTACCTAAGTAAACGGTTAATAAATTTTACTAAACGATTGCGTTCTGATTTCATCAAACTAGTTTCATAGATTCAAACAAACAGTCTTAGAAATCGAAGTTTATTTAAACTTAAATTATCAATATCGTTTTCCAATTTTTGGAAAAAATTTACCTTCACTAAACAAATGAATTTAATAAATACATATAATTATCTTTTTTGACTTGCATGCATTTCGATAATTCATTTATTTTAAATAAACCGGTTTACTTAATCTAAGTAAACGATTAATAAATTTTACTAAACGATTGCGTTCTGATTTCATCAAACTGGTTTCATAGATTCAAATGAAGTCTTAGAAATCGAAGTTTAAACTAATTAAACTTGTTAGCTAGTTAATTAATTTTCTTATGGGCCTAATTAAAATTTCACTTGGTTTAAATAATTTTTATATTCTAGGTACCTCGATTTCTGTGGGCGTATTCAGCCACCTTTTGAAAGTAGACGATGCTATTGTGGGGATTTATTCCTCTATGAGCAAAATTCTGTCGAGCTTTGTGTATGGATTTGCGAAGACACCACTGGTATTTTATTTAGGTAAGTTACATTTTTCGTCGCAAAATAATATCCAATAAATAGACCGAGATCATTCGGTCAACAATTCCAAAAAAATTACCGATATTTCTCTTTCCTTGCTCTTAACTTTGGGAGACCTATATGAGAAGGTAGGAACATCACACTTGACAATTTTAGAAATAACGGTTTTTGACGGAGCTTTTGTGCATTGAAATTGGACATTTTTTAGAGTCTTATAGATTTTGTTTAAATTCTACAAATGTCTGTTTGGTAGAAAAATATTCTAAGCCTCTTCTGCAGCTTGTAAATCCACTCTGAAAAATTTATATATTTTCGCGATATTTTTCCAAATATTTCGAAAATATACGAGGAAAGATTTTTAAATGCCATTTTTATATTTTGATGAAATATCTAATATTTTTCGTAAATATATGAAGCAACATGTTTTCAAGCAGTAATCTGATGCATATAACCAGCGTTATTTATTGGTTATTTTAGCAAAATCTGAAAAATGCTTTCTAAAATTGGGTTCATAAACAAAATTCATTCTAGAGTTAATAAATATATTTAATAAATGGTACATGCAGCTAAAGATCGCAGATGAAAAGGTTCATTTCTTTTAAATTTAAGAAAAAAATCAATATCTCAAAAACGGTGACACTTTTATATAGTTGTGTTATTTGGGAGGTAAGTCCAAAGCCTACCTTCTCCTTAAGTTTGTCGTGGTACTTATTAGACATGGGGAATATAAAATGCAGTGGAACAATATTGGTGCTGAGTTATTCCGAGTAGCTCAACTGGGTCAGTAAAAAATAATAATGCACCTAATAGGACACCAAATTTACTTCCTATGAGTTCGAGGTTTGGTTAATTCTTAAGAAAATTTGGTACGTTATTTTAGATATCTTGTTGAAAAATCTCCATGAACACAACTTGATCCTTAAAAAAAAGTCTTTAAAAATCGACCACCTATTTTTGCGGTAGTAAGGGGCCAATTCAGCCATAACTATTGTGTGATTTTATATGATTTTTCGTGATGTACCTATTATCTCAATTTGGAAATTTTTCGCGATCCTTCCTTGTTACTTTTGGCATACGAAGTAAAATATCGAAACGTCTCTGCCATGAACGCGAGGTTTTCGCCATCTGCAAACGCCGATGAGGAATTGCCCCTGAGACTGCGTTCTATGCAAGATATTACCAAAGCTGGTTCTATACGGTACTTTCCTGTTATTGCGATGATGTACCGCGAAGAACAGTAAACAATCGCTGGCAGCTGATTAGCCTTGATGAAAAAAGAATTATGATTACATTCACGGAAGTGCATCGCCAACAAACATGGGCTTACTGTTTTTTCAAAGTCGTTCACTTGTACGTCCTCAACGAGTCTTTATGGAGCTACGGGGTGATCCGATTACGTATCTTTAAAAATGAGAATTGTTTTTTCGACATGTGACATAACGTATTCCACTTCCTCGAGGCGGGAGTGGATTTCGTGTCTAAAAAAATGCGTAGAAAAAAATTGATACTATGGACGAAAATCAACGGTTCCAATGATGTTTTTGCAAATAAAAAATTCCTTGTGTCTAAAAAATGTGGGAAAACTATTTTTGAAACAACCCTTGTAGTAATAGACCTCATTTGCTGCCTACCGAAATATTTTTAATGCTTGATAGTGTATTGCCAGTTTCAGCTCTTTGACATTGAACCTTTGAATCCATAGTAATCCAATTTCGTTAACGATGTTACTGTTAATTTTTCATCCCTATTCTATTATTATTCTTCTACTACCAGTTGAATTGCTCTTTAATTAGAACATTTACATGAATAAAAATGCCGACCCAGTATTTCTAGAAATATATTTCGACGGTGACGATGGAAATTGTGTGTGATATCAACGCTAACACTCTGTATACACATTTCACCTTACACAGTTCGTGATGATTCCCGCCAAGGTTCCATCAACAGCGTTCAGCGATCTTTCTAGCAACGAACGGACAGACTGCGCGTGGTTAATTATTGATATCGAACGTAATTGTACGTCATCATACGTGGAGTTATTATCTTAATTTCGTTTGCCCGTCGATGGTAGGCTAGTTACCTAGCTTCCTGTTTGAAATTTAATGAAATCAGATCGTAATTACCTGCGATAGCATCGCACATTAATCGGTATTTTAAATGCTGACAGAATTGGTTTTCAAACGTTTATATACCTTTAGAGCTCATTTGACGTAAAAAAGAAACATATAAGCACCTACTGAGTTAATCTACTTGAGGAAATATTCATAAAGCCGTCAAAGGCGGGGTATCACAAATTAAAAGTGAGGCGAAACTTTGCTACGCGTGATGCTAGCTGAAATCTGGCAACATCGTCGTGTTTGTAGGCTCTCCCGCCACCGATCCCAACAATAAGCGCCTATTGGCGACAGCCATGCGCAATGGCAATGTGCGGTCATCCGATTTTTGCACGCAGAAGCGTTACCGCCCATAGAAATTCATCGCAAAAAAATCGTAGAAAAAATTATGACTATTTTTTTAAATCCTGGTGCCGGAAAAAAATGCGGGAACCTTATTATGATTTAGACCGACTTAACCGCAAATATTCAACTGATTTTTCTCTATAACAAAAGCATCTCACAGAGAGAGATTCTTTTAAAATCGAAGATCTCATTCAAAAATGCAATGATGTTCCAAAGTATATTATTCCAACAACCTGTATACCGGTGAAGCCACATTTCAGAACCTATCCTTATCTGAACTTTTCGTGTAATAGCATCAAAAAATATTTTAGTAATATTGTCACGTTTTCCTGTAACACTTTGTATAACTTGTCACTGTACTATGATAGGCCACCGAGCTGACCGGAACGTCAGCAAATCGTAAAATGATTTTATTTGGCGGTCAGCGAGGTATGTAGGCTCATCATTTTGTATAAATTGTGAGCAAATACAACACAACGTTAGAAAATCAAAAGTTTTTCACGTTTTTATAATTGCAGATTCTGAAATATAATCTAATACAAAATGCAAATATTCACATTAGATGGTCAATGTCATATTACGTGAATCAATGAACACACAACCTTCACATACTTAAATAAAAATATACCACCTGAACGCCCATAACATTATGATAAATAACATGCTATTCGTAAACATCAATATTCGATGTATGATTTATGTATGTTGATAAGTTAAATTAGAAAGCACGCTAGTTTAATATACACCAGTATTATATAGAACCCAATCCGGCAACACCGCAGGCAAGCGCCTCTCATATATGACATATCCACAGACGTCAACGTCATATGGTAGATGGCGGTGGAAATAATGGAGGGAAATAACTGCTAAAAAATACAGTGTTTTGGGAAAAAAATTTCATGAAAAGCGTGCTCCATCCACACTTTTTATGATTTAAAATAATCTATCAGACTACCTTCTATAAGTTTCAAGTGAAAAAAACAGTGAAATACGAAGTTCTACAAGACGCAACAGTACTATTTTTATTTCTTACAGGTGCCATTGTTGAAATTCTGAACGGCACTTCTTTCATTGCCATGCGATCTATTGCCTCCAAACTAGTTCCTACTGACGAACTTGGTAAGTACTACATTAATAATGTACGTACTTTAACTGAAAATAGACAACTAACTGTATGTGAGTGCTTAAAAACGGATCTAAAACATCCCAGCGCCGCCTATGAGGCAGGAGCAGAACACAAACGTGGATCCAGATATCAATCAATCCAAACCAAGGCTTTATTCAAAATGAGTTAGTAGAGAGAAAATAAATGAAAGAATACAGCGCAGTACCGATAAGACTAAAATAATACTTGTTTTGCCCTAAAAAAAGCGAAGTTAAAAACTAAAATTCTCCTGACCCCTAACATCTATAGAACCAAGCACTCTAAATCTATGCGTATATGCAGCACATAAGTACAGAGATTCAAATTAGATTGAGTTGTTTCTCGATGTATGCAACCAGCAATATGACAAGGAAACTAGAGATGGGCGAATACGTTATTCGATTATCGACTATAATGCAGTCCATTTAGATAATCCATGTAGATTCAAAGGAATACAAACACCGCAATCTGACGATTCATTATAATCACTGAGGTATTTAGGATTTTTGATGAACGCCACAAAAAGATCTCCTAGCGCTATCTAGGTGACAGTATCCAAACGATACACTAACTCTTTTCAAAGTAGACTTCTAAATTCATGTTTGTGCTCTGCTGCCGTGCTAGGATTACTAATCCATATAACACTAGATAGATTTATATAATTTGCGATCACTGTTCATTTATAGGAAAAGTGAATTCTCTGTTTGGCGCCTGTGAATCCCTGATGCCATTGGTGTATGGTCCGATGTACAGCGCCACCTATGCGGCAACGATCAACACTATGCCCGGGGCGTTTTTCATACTCGGAGGATTTCTGACGTTTCCAGCGGTTATTATATTCGGGTAAGCATTTAATAAAAGGTACAGCAAATATCCCAGTGATCGATGTTTATTTCCTTTCGATAGTTCGGAAGTTCGATAGTTCGATAGATGGATCGATTGATAGATCGAATTTGATCAACAACGAGGAGTACAAGCAGTATGTTTGGTTTGATAGTGTACGATAATCTCAAACTTTCCTAACGTTTCAGCTGGATGTACCTTCAAGCCAGAAGAGAACAGAAGCAGCAGAAGGTGAAAGATGACATTGAAAAACAGATCAAGCCAGAAGGCAGCTCGATCATCAGTGACATTCTGGCGGCTCCCACGAAACAAGCGCAAAGTGGTTTGCCGATTGGAACTCCGATTTTGAACGGTTTCAGGAAGGCGATTCAAACCGAAGGAAACGGCGTCGCGAAAGATGTTAAAGAGAATGGCGTTAGTAATCCTGCGTTTGAAATGGAAAAGTGATAAATTCAGATTTTTTTTATAATGTCTTCGTGTCGATTGTTGATGTATTTATACGTTTTTATACCTCTGATTGAGGTTGATTCAGCTCTGCCTTATTTCGTCGTCCACCTAAACCGTGCTGATGATTAACAATAAGCATGAAACAGCTGTCCACGGTTGGTCGGATATCCAGAAAATGGATATACAGAAGCAAGACATATCAACTGGTATGCTTCTGAAATAGAACTTTCTGCATTGAAGAATCCAGAAAAAAATATAGTTTTGTCCTCAGAAGTATTTTTTCAGAACATAAGAAACACTACTCGTATATACCCTTAAAAAGTAGAGACGAATTTGACTTCGGTGACCACGAGAAGACAGACAATGAGAATAAAATTAGAGAGAGATAGACTGGTCAAACCAATCGGCAGCGTGTTGTCCTCATTTGGTGAGAGATGCCTGCGGTGTTGCCAGAAATATAGCTCATTTTAGAAGAATTTGTTATTGTTCATAAAGCTATGCATTTTTTGATCAAATCTACTTTTGTTTAGACTTACATTTATTCATCGTGGTGATATTTATTATCCATTTGCACATTTACAGTGTCTATGAAATTCGGTAGATTCAATGACAAAAATTCGGTAGGAGGAACAAATAAGTCCGTCACGAGAAGTGCGTTGGATCAAGGGATAGTTCTTTATTATATCTTGTACAATGAGCTTTTCAAACTCCTTTGCAACCATCATTGAAACTCCGTTTACTATTCTTGTTTGTAACAAGAAAAAAAAACGATTTATGGAAAGGAATAAGAGATATGCGTACCTACATATTTGTAGGCAACCCAAATCTACGTCCTCCTGCCGTCAGCCTAAGAATAGGCTTATGTATGTCGGATATGGGACATATAACTATATGCACTGCATAGCATCTTTTCAGCTTTATTTTTGGCTTCAGCTCTTTTTCGGAAGAAAACCTGGATGTATCTGAATTATTTTGAAAAATCACGCAAAATAAGAATGTTTTCGGTATTTCGGTAAATGTCTCATTTCTGTAGAAATAGCGAAAAATTAGTAGGTTCGGCAACACTGACACCAAAGTATTCTCATTTTATATCAGCATTGCCAGATCTTGTAAAATTTCACCAGATCTGGTGAATTTATGAATTATTTAAGTTGTATACAAACATTACAAATATATTTTTTTCGTTTACAACTAGTAATGCAGCTTGAAATGATAACTTTTAAAATTCTTGTTGATTTTTTTAAATCTGGTGATTTTTCATTTCAATTTCTGGCGAATTTAATTATTTTGACCTGGCAACACTGTTCTGTATGTACCTTGCACGAACTATTTGTGCAAGTATATAAATCACAAAATGTACCCTACATTCTGCTGATTGTTTCACGTTTACCAGTGAATTTCATAGAAAATAATATTCGTAGACGCTTAGTCAGCATTCACGTTTTAGCAAATGAGGACTGAGTCAAATATTGCCTAGCGGTGGTCATATTATGTAAAAATAAATAAGACTAGCACTACTCTGTTCAACTGAGTATAATTTAGCTAAATATTTTATGGCAACTTGGCAACACACAGATTGCTGTCTTGTATTAAATGTGGCAATGAGGCACCAGTAATGCAGCTCAAACGAACTTAAACAAACAAAAACGTTTCGCGCAGTGTCCTCTCTTGGTATACCTTTCTTTCGCCCTAAATATTTCATAAGATAGTAACGTCATTTTTTATTTGGACGATGCAGAATTGTAAACTGTGTATCAACAGTTGGATAACCCAATTTAATCAAACAATTGGACCAAATATTCTGTTGGAATCAATTGGTAACTAGCTTATTAAGGTTCGATGTTACATCACGACATCTCATACACAACTTAAAAATCGAAATCAAGTAATGAAAATAGAGTTTTATATTTAAGAACTCTGAATTTTGATGACTGAATATGATCAGCTTGTACATATTGACAAATTTTTCTTCTTTCTTATAGTCTTTAGTCTCGGTCCTTTAAATATCACAATGTTGGAGGATATTATTGTATGATTACTCTAAGTACCTAGATATATTTATTACATAATTTTTGTATTTCAACAAGATAACAAATGGTAAATTCCCAATCCGAACTCGCCAATTATTGAAGAGAATTGATATCCAACCAGACCACTTTTTGTGCAGCGGAACGTATGGATGGTTGCCTATCGTCAGGAAAAACAGCTTTGCCATTTGTCATAATTGTGGAATTTTATGGCGCCTATGGTGTCAGTCCATTTTGTGATAATAATTTAGTATTTAAACGTTTATTGTATTTTATTGAAGAGATTATATATTGCATTTTTTTGTGATAGAGTATTATACTAGCTATTATTAATAAATATAAATTCTATTTGTGTCTGAAAGTTTCTTTCATTCCTCGCATGATACAAGGTAAAAATTAGTTTCAATAATGTTGACAATGACTTTACTGGAGTATACAAACGATGATAAATATACTGATAAACACATACTGGGTGATTCACAAGGCGCGACCAAAAGGGAAACATCCTAAACAGGATCGCATTTTAAGGAGGGTCTTTATGTATTTTTTCCTCAGTAGCTTTATTAAAAAGATACGGCGTGTTGAAGTTTAAAAATAAAAAACAATTTTTTTATATCTTCAAAACTGTCAACTGGAATAAATTAAAATTTGGTAGGACTAGACTAATAAATGAATGGTAATGCACAAGAGTACTAGAATATATACTAATCTGTAAAACATGTTCCGAAATTCACGGATAATACCTAAAATAAATGGTAAGTAAATAAGTACATGAATGGTACAGGCAAGTAAACAACTGAAGCTTTTTTCCATATACCATTTTTCACCGTTGCTTTGAGCATGTGATCCTTTGAATATAGAAAGAAATCTATTTTGTTAAGCATTATTTTTCCCGTAATGGACGTACAATAATTTTGACAATAGTGAAATCAAATCAGGAAAACAAGTGACCATTACTGAAATTCGCTCATTTGGCGATTACTGGGACATTTCTAAGTGCTGGTTACCCATCGCACAACATAGACAAATTTGAAGACAACATTCACAGCGCAGGGTGTAATACTGGCTGCCTGAACTTTTGGGAGACGTTAACGCCAACAGAAGACAGAATCATGTTTAAAACAATAGTATAATCGCCCTCAAATCTCTGAATTGGGTATATTACAACAATTACAGTAAAATTACTACGACCGTGTCCATTACTTCCACACCTATTATATAGCTTAACATGTTTGGTCTTTTCGTGATTTTAATTTCGCACTTCGGTATTTATGTGACAGTCTCTTGTTAGATTCAATTTTATTTTCAAAGCTCCATTTGCCTAGAATACGTTTCAATATTGGGCAAGAAATCGAAGAACTGAAAAATTCCAGCACGCCGCATGCGGTTTTTACCAGATTTCAATAAATTTGTAAATAAATTTCACGATCAATAATTTATATCAGTCAGTTATTACGTTATTCAGCTAATTTGTCGTAAATAGATACAGCGTCTTGACCTTGTGGTTTACCGCGGCGAGGAATGAAAAATATTGCACTTGGGTGCACGCTGCACAACGTGTCGATTTCAGGAGATGCAATCGTTGCAAGAAAGAATATCTGCCGTGCGAAATTTCATTTTCTGTTGACGAGCGCTCCTGCACATCATCAAAGCTTCTGGCTTGACCAGTCTATTGGGATAGCCGCTCTAGTTCATTCTGTCAGGGTTCTGATGACTGCATACTTCTGACTTGGGTGATGATTGGACAAAGCGTGCAGGTATCTGTCTATGTGCGTTGGTTTCCTGTACACTGTGTGACCCAGCTTGTTACCTCGCTTCCTGAGTAGTACGTCCAAGAAGGCCAGTCGTTGATCACTCTCTATCTCCATGGTAAATTGTATGCTTGGATGCCGATCGTTGAGGTGCTGCAGAAACTCGTTTAGCCTGTCCGTGCCATGTTCCAATCACGAAGGTACCGGAACCAAATTGCTGGTTTGTTCTCCTGATATCTCAACCGCCTTCTTCTCAAAGTGTTCCATAAAAAGGTTGGCTATGACTGGGCTAAGTGCGACTTCCCATTGCCACTCCGTCTGTCTGCTCATAAAAGCCCCCGTCCCATACGAAGTAGCTTCCAGTGAGACGGATTTCAAAGAGCTTGCGGATGTCAGAAGGGAAGATCCTGCTCAACAGGTCCAGGCAGTACCTCAGCGGTACCTTGGTGAAAATGGAGACGACACCGAAGCTCACAAGGATGTCGACGGCGGAATCCTTGATGTAGCTGGTACTCTTTCACACGTATGATTGCGGCAGGGATGTCAAGTGTTCCGCTAAGTAGTACGTCGGTGATCCGGGAGCACTGACTATTGGTCTCAACGGAACATCTGCCTTGTGGATCTTGGGCAGCAGGAACCGTCCTCGTAACGCTCTTCTTGGTGCGTAGTCGGACTTGGATCCTTCTTCAGGGGTTTGTAACTTTCCGAGTCTAGAAGTTCAATAATCTTCCTTTTGTAGTCCTCGCTCTACAGAAGAAAGTTGCATTACCTTTGACGACTAGGCGTATGACGATATCCTCGTCGTTATTAAAAAGCTCATTCAGTCTTATGGTGAATACGTACTTCCTTTGGTCTAAAATAGCAAAAGCACTGTACTGAAACTTGAAACAAGCTTGAATGTGTGTATAAATACAAACACAATGGAAGCGTGTCTTAAGAAATTTTAACATGACGCGCGAAAAAATCTTGTGCTCTAAATATATACCTGTTTCAATTAAAATTATACAGGCGTGACATTATCATTAACAGTACAACCAATAAGGTACATTAGCTTTATCTAGATTAAATCATACAGAAGGCTAAAGAAAAAAATAAACAATAAAATTTTTGAGTTACGTATAGTCCTTTTACCTTGGTTCGCGTTGTCTAAGTGAAAGTACCTACCAAACGCAGCTAGTACCGTTTAAGTACTACTGAATGAAAGAAATGAAAAGGTTATTCACATCGTTACAATATTCGATTTTCTTCAATAACGCAATAATCCTTTATTATTTGTTATCCGGCCTTCGGCAGTTTGTTTTTTGTTTGCTATCGTGAAACAGCGCATTTTCAACAATACTCTCGCTAACGGTCAGTTCAATGTACAATTGTATCCATAATATTTTTGTAAAAGTATAAATTAGTATAGAGTGAATCGCTCGATCGATCGTGTTAAACTTCGCACGTCCAGAACCGGCCGATACGACCGCTCCTTTGTGACGAGACGATGGAACCACTCTGCCTTCCTAGTTCTACCAACCTTGGGCATTTCCGATTCGTCTCGTGGAGGGGGATTCCGATATAATGAACGACACTTCTCCGCGATCATAAACGAGTATAGCACACTTTGTATATCCTGTTCCAGTGGCTAGCTTTGAATAAATGCCATGATTAACAACCACGAATAATCCATTATTATCTTCCTTCTAGTATTTCTTTCTCGCTCTCTCGACAACAACTGCAATTATGATCATTAGTCTTCGTTTTCTTCATAATTTGATGAGACTCACGTGCTCGACGGTTGCGGCTTCAGCCGGCCAGATTTGCGAGCATAAACATGAATAAAATATCAGATAAACTTGTTCGATTGCTGGAGGCGATGATTTTCATTTCATTGGAAATTATTTCACAAAGCTACCAGAGTTCGTTCAGAACCAGCAGTTGCCGTGAAAAATCAACCAGTATTTGATTCATATTTATAAATGATCCGGTACGACTCTTTGGACCAACGTACTTAGTTGTATTGTTAGAGTGAAGAATCAACAAAACTTATGAGATTTATATATCCGATAGGTCTTTAACTGAGGTACCACTTAATTGATCCAACTCACTGGTCGATACCAATAGCCCACATCCCTAGTGTTGTAGATGAAGATCATACAAAAAAAATGTATCTTCAGCTACGATTTTAACTCAGGTACCACCTTATTAAATCAACACATTTTTGGGTTCCACTAATCCTTAATTCAAGTGTTGCATTTATAAATCGCATATAAAAGTTATACCCATCATTCAGAAAAAATTAATCGTCCAAGCAGGTACCACCCTTATTGAACCAAAACGGTGGCGGGTACCACTGACTGATACCAGTGACTCTTGATTCTGATGCTGCAATTCAAAATCTAAGAAAACCTATGGACATCTACGTTCTCATCTATATTATTTCATCATACTGAAACAACAAAACTATTTTTACTTTCAACACAAATTGCCCCGGTACTACCTCGACTACTACTTCAACGCCAGAACCACCTTGGTAGTTCACTACGTGATTTTCCAGGTACCACTATTACATCGCTATAGAACTAGTAATTTTTGCGGCTTTTGCGTTTTTATTTAAAAATGCTCTGGCATGACTTAATCCTAGGTACCACCATTTGAACCGATACAGTGTGGTTGGTACCACTAACTGATGATTGTAATGTTGCAGTTGAAGATAAACTCGGGTACCACCATACCGAACCAAAACATTTCTTGGTACCACCACCTTCAATAGCAGTGTTGCCTCTAAAAATTAAGTGAACGTCATTTGCATTCTCAACCCAAACCGCTCCGATACGACCCCGGGTACGACTTCAACCCCGGAACCACCTCGTGATTCAACGCATCACTTGCCAGGTACCGCTGTTATACCGCTATAAAACTAGCAGCTTTTCGCGGCGCGCTTCCAGTATATCGCGTACCGATCGTATACTTACAGACGCAGTATCACATCTAGCGAGTATCTTCGCGTCGATACTTCGAAAAGCGGTACTCGTTTTCGCGCCGGTAAAGTGGAGCATTTCGGGAAGATGCCGTTTCGGTTCGGTTTCGTGGTGCTGGCGATGCTGGTGCTCTCCGTGTCCGCGGAGAAATTTAAAGTTATCAGGGAGTGGCGGTACCTGAACTTCACTTGGAGTTCGCCAGAGGTAGGAAGGAATATTTCCATTGGTACTGCTATTAACCCAATTTGGCACCGTGACCCTTTAAGGTATTTTAAATGTAGCGCCTAGATAGAGGATCTCCTCAGGGGCCCGATGCCAAAATTCGTAGAGTGGCATATCCCAAATGGAGGGTAAAATTTGAAGCATAGATTTTTGCAAAAATTGTCACGTATTGACCAAGGTCGCCATAAAAAGTTGCGTGAAATTCTGGATAACGCTTTTACCTCCCACGCTTCTTTTTCAGGTGTACCAAACGGCTGAACGTACAGGTGCCTACGTTCCCGAGAACAACATCGTCGCAGGTGTGAAACAGTATCAAGACCACTTCTATCTGACGCTCCCCCGTATGAAACCCGGCGTTCCAGCAACCCTGGCGCGCATCCCCGCAGGTGCTGCGACCAAGGACACCGCGCCCCTATTGGAACCGTTCCCCTCATGGGACATGAACAAAGTAGGGGACTGTCCAGGCGCTGCAGAATGTTCAGAATGTTGAGATCGATACGAAAGGGAGGATGTGGATCATAGACGGCGGAAGGACTGAAACGTTGACCAGTGAACCTGTCGTCAGGTTTGTTTATTTGACTATTAGGACTAACTAAAATTTTAATTATTCCAATAAAAAATTAATCAACTATGTCAGAGCTACCAGGTTTAATTTAACACTGAAGAAAATAGTTTAATAAGATAAAAGGCAATCGTTTAATTAAATTTATTAACCCGTTCACTTAGATTAAGTATTCCAATTTATTTAAAATCAATCAACTATGAAAAGGACTGAAACATCGTCCAGTGAACCTGTTGTCAGGTTGATTTATTTGACTAGTAAGATCGTAAAATGACTGGCGCACCGAGAAAACAGTTAATGAAATCAACTAAAATTTCAATTGGGCCTATAAAAAAAATATTCAACTATGTGACAGTTAGCAAGTTTAATTAAACTCCGATTTCTAAAACAGTTCACTTGATTCTAAGAAAATAGTTTAATTAAGCTAAACAGCAATCGTTTAATTAAATTTAATAAACCGTTTACTTATATTAAGTATACCAATGTATTTAAAATCAATGAACTACGAAAAGGACTGAAACATCATCCAGGGAACCTGATGTCAGGTTGATTGATTTGACTAGGAAACTCGAAAAATGACTGGCGCACAGAGAAAACAGGTAATTAAATCAACTAAAATTTCAATTAGGCTAACAAAAAAATTTAATCAACTATGTGACAGCTATCAAGATTAATCAAACTCCGATTTCTAAAACAGTTTACTTGATCCTAAGAAAATAGTTTAATGAAGCTAAAAGGCAATCATTTAATTAAATTTATTAACCCGTTCATTTAGATTAAGTATACCGATTTATTTAAATTCAATGAACTACGAAAAGGACTGAAACATCGTCCAGTGAACCTGTTGTTAGGTTGATTTATTTGACTAGTAAACTCGCAAAATGACTGACGCACCGAGAAAATAGTGAATTAAATCAACTAAAATTTCAATTAGACCAATAAAAAAATTTAATCAACTATGTGACAGCTATCAAGATTAATCAAACTCCGATTTCTAAAACAGTTTACTTGATCCTAAGAAAATAGTTTAATGAAGCTAAAAGGCAATCGTTTATTTAAAATTATTAACCCCTTTACTCACATTAAGTATACCAATTCATTTAAAATTAATGAACTACTAAAAGGACTGAAACATCGTCCAGTGAACCTGTTGTTAGGTTGATTTATTTTAATAGTAAACTCGTAAAATGACTGACGCACCGAGAAAACAGTTAATTAAATCAACTAAAATTTCAATTAGGCTAATAAAAAAAATTTAATCAACTATGTGACAGCTATCAAGATTAATCAAATTCCGATTTCTAAAACAGTTTACTTGATCCTAAGAAAATAGTTTAATGAAGCTAAAAGGCAATCGTTTAATTAAATTTATTAACCCGTTCATTTAGATTAAGTATACCGATTTATTTAAATTCAATGAACTACGAAAAGGACTGAAACATCGTCCAGTGAACCTGTTGTTAGGTTGATTTACTTGACTAGTAAACTCGCAAAATGACTTACGCACCAAGAAAACAGTGAATTAAATCAACTAAAATTTCAATTAGGCCAATAAAAAATTTTTATCAACTATGTGAGAGCTAGCAAGTTCAATTAAACTCCGATTTCTAAAACACTTTACTTGATTCTAAGAAAATAGTTTAATGAAGCTAAAAGGCAATCGTTTAATTAAATTTATTAAGCCCTTTACTTACATTAAGTATATCAATTTATTTAAAATCAATGAACTACTAAAAGGACTGAAAAATCGACCAGTTAACCTGTTGTCAGGTTGATTTATTTGACTAGTAAACTCCCAAAATGACTGGAGCACCGAGGAAACAGTTAACAGCTAGCAAGTTCAATTAAACTCCGATTTCTAAAACAGTTTACTTGATTCTAAGAACGTAGTTTAATTAAGCCAAGTGGCATTCGTCTAATTAAATTTAATAACCTGTTTACTTAGATTAAATATACCAGTTTACTTAAAATCAATGCACTACTAAAAGGCCTGAAACATCGACCAGTCAACCGGTTGTCAGATTGGTTTATTTCACTGGCGCAGCGAGAAAACAGTTAACCAAATCAACTAAAATTTCAATTAAGCCATAAAAAAATTAATCAACTATCTGACAGCTAGCAAGTTCAATTAAAGTCCGATTTCCAAAACCGTTTACTTGATTCTAAGAAAATAGTTTAATTACGCTAAAAGCCAATCGTTTATTTGAATCTAATAAACCGTTTACTTAGATTAAGTACACCAATTTATTTAAACCTAATGAACTACTAAAATGAGTTTCATACACTTATTGTGATTATCGTACGTAGTCACGTAATTTCTACGGGCTTCGTATTTGGATCATATTTTCATATCTATTCTTTTTATTCTTCCCAAAAGTAATTTTTACTAGCCTCGTTTATTGGTTCTAGATGTCCTCCGAAGCTGGTGATATACGATATCAACCAGAAATCTACAACGACCTTCTACACTTTTCCGGATGACGTAGCCAGCTACAATTCCAGTTTTCTCTACGACATCGTTGTGGATGATACTGACGGGGGATTCGCATACATTTCTGATAACAGCGCAAAAGATCCTGGTAAGTTTTTTATTATCAATTTAGTTTGCGGCATTCTTCGTTCAAAAGAGAATCAGATGCTTTTTAATACAGTGTCCTGTCAGGGTTCCCACCAGAAGATTGAGCGACTCTTTACTTATTTCCAATAGCCCTAGTGTTCTACGGTTATCTAAGCCAGCGAAAAACCTGCCTATAGTCATCCCTACACATATAAAAACAAAGCGTACGGAATCTAGAGTCAGCTAGACATCTGGTTTTTGAATCGAATTTTACAAAAAATACCGTGAAACTTGAAAAAACTCTTAGATAATGCAATGTTACCTAACGCAATTACACTTCGGTGGACTTAGATTTCTATAAAAACGTGTAAACCGAGCAACGATGAAAATGCGTTTTCAAAGGCCACGACAACAAAAACATTTAATTGTTTTCATTGTGAGGAAAACGTATACTTATTAGTATGTTTAACATCATCGAACGAGGTCACTGCGACGTTCCAAGACAAACACCCACTCATTATTAAAAATAACAACAAATCCGCAAGCATGAATCAAAATGATCCAAGGGTTATTGTTAAACGTTACGCCTGTCAGTCCGCCATTTAAAAAAAATGTGATTTTATGCTCTGAGGTTATGAAGTATTTAGTGAGATGATGCCACATTCTATTTAAAAAAATGTACCAACATGGCGGTCATCCGCCATCTTGAAATTTCCACCTGTCCATTTCATTACCCCAACATTTAGCTACACCCGTTCTAATAATTAGAAGGGGAGATTTTCTTGAAAAGCACCGTATATCTAATGAGTAACAAGTACATTTTGCTATGAATTACTGTGTTGGGGTACATAACAGGTGAGTGAGAAGGGTTTTTAGTATATCCATACCGGCTTTATGAAAAATCTGAGCCTGATAGAAAAATCCGAAGAGGTTTTCGCCTGTTAGATAAAGTTATCAGTTATAAGTTATGCTTCATGACTTTTGAAGAAAAGTGTTAACTCAAAGCAATTGTAAACATGCAATTTACTTTAGCAAATTTTCCAACAAACAATAATAAAATTAACGAGGCTGGCTAGTGATTACGTTAATCGTTAACAGGCAGATGAAGTGTTTTTTTTCTTGAAATTCCACACCGACATATCATTAACATTGTATTTTTGTTATTCGAAACCTGAAATAGTACTTACTGCAACATTGTCGCATATGATTCAGTGCGAAATATAGCGCTCGCTTTTCTGAATCACAGAAAAATGTCTCGTAGAAGAATAAACAGTTAAACACTAAAAACAAATTGTTTATTGTTTTATATTGTTATATATATATTGTTATACCGATCTTGAAGAAAAAAGCTCGTAACCACTGAAACAAAAGTGTTATTTATGAAAATTATATATAATGAGTGTTAGCAAACATCAATAATTCCTAGGTTCTATACAAGATATGACATAAGTATTGAAAGCGATCCACGGAAACAAAGTATATAATCAATTACGCATTAATCGTTGATACATTATTGCTTTTTGATTATGTCCACTTTTACAATATTGTGAATTAACCCAGGCATCAGAACTTTTACTGTTTTAGTTACGCCATTTGATTTCTGCTCGTAACATCTTCCAATCCACAATGACGCTTTTGGTAAATAATCAAAGCCGTATGACTTGGATACAGAAGTTGACTAACGTTTCTAATACTTTTTTAACGTACAAAATGTGCATGCAGCGTGCAATCAAATTTTTAATATTAATGAAGGCAAACTAGCGTAGAAGGGCTCGGTTTTATTATTTAAATTTGATCAAGATGATAAACTATACAATTTAAATTAATTTAAGTATGATGTTACGAATTCGTCGAAATAAATGAGTTGTTTCAATAACAAAAGGGACTTAGTGACAATAAAGATAAACACCTACCTGAATACAAATTACATTATTAATATAGTTGACTTGATCGGTCGGTCTTAGTGTTTTGGCAAATATTAAAAGATGTTGTACAACAAGACCGATCAACAAATTCAAGGGAAAGAACGGCAATGAAACTGAAAGTATCATCCTTGAATTTTCGGGTAATATCAATTTTTCCTATCCATTAGTAGCCTGTCACTCTCATTTCCATATTTACCGAATATAAGCTATCTAACCGGTTCTTGTTCGGAAATACGTATATGAAATCAAATCAGGAAAAAACAAATTAATGGTTTTTACATATTTTCTATTAAATCAACGATCTGTGACGGCGAACTAAATTTTGGTGTTATTCAAACATGATACGGTATAACGACTGCATTACATGCCTAACTTTTTGTTTACACGTTAAGCAGAAACATGGCCGAATGAGGTTTGACATTGCATTGCTTCCAGAATTTTCTAGAAATATCTCAATGATATTACGAGGTATCTCAAAGATAGAGAGTTGCGGTTTTCGGATTACTATTATCTAAGTTGTTTCTTTTATTTTTACGAAAACAATGCACTTTAGAACAATGCGGTCCTAACGTATGACTTTCATTTTTGGTCACGACTTGTGAAGCACGCTGTATATTTTTTTCTCGTTAGATTGAACATCTTACAAGCTTTACAAAACTGTGAAAACACGATATGTATTTTTTAATATAAATCTACAGGAACGACCTATCTAAACTGAATCCAAATTCAAGATGAGATGCAAATAATAACAGTTAGCGCGTGATCTGTCGGACAACGCCTCTTATCGGTCAATTCGCCATTAAATTTCAAGCGGTCGCCTGGCGGAATAATGCGCGGGGCAGGGGCAGGGCAGGCAGAGTTGCATTCAGGCCACCGACCGTCGCGTGTATCACTGCGTGCTCGTGTTTTCGTATTCACCTTGATTGGTTGTTGCTGTTGTTGTTGTTAGGTGTATTTGAGTAATTGTTAAGTTTCTGTTTGTTATTGTTATTCCTCGTTATTATTTGTTTTGAACCAATCCTGAACATGTCCAGTACAGATACTGCTGACGAGGCTGTAGGCTACTCCCTTAGCCCTCGTAGAAAGCGATAAAAAAAGACATCTTAGCGTAGACATGAAAGACGTCATATTGAATACATTCAAGATAGAGCGGATGTTGTCTAGCTTGAAAAATCTGTAGAAAAACTTAGCACCCCTTCAAGAATAAAAATTTGATTTTGCGACACCCTTAACTATAACTACTTCACTATATTAGATAATTTCGTTAAATACTGTCATCTTTGTTTTACAACACGTTGCTGGTAGCCCTGAATGCGGCCCTGTACGCCGCCCTTGCTATTGGCAATCACGCATCCATTCTATCTTGGGTGTAAATACACTTGTAGATCGGAAATGTACAGCGAAACAGGAGTTACTTTTGGATAACTTTGTTACCATGCAAAAATTCAACTAAACTGTTAACATTGCTCGAAATATGCGATATAAAGATCCGTATTTCTTAGATAAATCCATAAAAACTGAATCTATTACGGTAAGTACTGTATAGTCAAAATCACGAAAGATGACTATTACGTCATAACCTAAATTGTACTGAAGTAATCAATGGACGTACGTCGATGATAAAATCACGATGTCAGGAACATAATGACAACAAATTTATATTATGATTTTGCGAAGTTAGGTTATTTAACTGATTGTTTTTATTTTCATTTTATTTCATGGTTTTGAGTGATACCTTAATAATAACTTTAGTGGCGAGTTTTTGTCTTAAAAAAAACAGTTATGAGTAGACAGGAACACCAAAGACCAAAGTATTATTCGAAAACAAAATAACCTGCTTTAACATAACCTAACTATTCATCTTTCAAATATGATCGATCATGCAACATGAAAACATCGTCTATCTTTGTCGGATACATGCAAATTAGCAATACAGTTTGTTTAGACAATAAAATTCTGTTTGTCTCTGTCTAGCATATCACAAACTTCATTAAATATATTCACAAATCGCTGTCGTTTGTCTTTAGTACAGACTAAAATGATGACGTAATCGTCATCTTTCGTGATTTCGACTATATATGGTTATTAGAAATTGCAACCCGCAAAATTCAAGTACGGATTCATTTTGAGGTCAGGGTAATTTTGAAATAAATCTTATCTGAAAGGCCAGTACGGTGAACCTTGCGTCTTACCTTAAGGCTCGCTTATACGAACAATACAATTTACATAATCCACCGAATGACAATACCATTAAAATCATTATATGATTGTCACGCCGTACATATGCGGAAAAAGCCAGCCTGCGGCCGTTAACCATCAAGTTCAGTTATCCTGTTGCCTTTTTTGTAACAATCGGAAGAGCCGCTCAGGTATTTAACCTACATAATATGCCGTGAAAATTCTACAAATCAATTAAGTATGCTGTTACGTCGGATTATGCTGAATGGGAATATCGCACGCGTCGCGACCGCAGACTTGAGAAGATGCTTGTGTTGCTTTGGGTTTGGCAAGCATTCGACGCGAAGACATTTCGATAGCTACTAGAACTACAGTCAAACTGATGTCAAATTCGGAATTTACGCAAGGATTTACCTAGACTAGAGTGTCCCCAAAGCTGGGACTTTTCTTTACAAAATGAGCAGTTCTTTCTAGTAACATATACACCAAAGGCTTCGCAAATAAGCCAAAGCGAACTTACATAGAACGGAAGTACAGCAATCTTTAACACGAAATAGTAAACGAAAACAAGCAGACCAACGAGCCAAACTTCAATAGACGTGTTACGTTAATTGTGAGATATTCAACATATTTCGTCATCATTAACGCCTGTTTCTTGTAGTCTTGAAGAAATTCAGTAGTACGACGTGTTCCTCTACCTCCTTCTATCCACACACGACACACACGCATTACCGGGCGGGGTCAACTATTCAAAATGGTAGCAGAAATAATTCCTTGTTGGGATATTTTGAAGAACAAAAAAAACTCACACTTCACTTTTTACACAAGGATTTAGAATATTTCACTTTGAACCAGAAGCCAGGGGGGCATAGGCCAATGGGCCCATGAATCCAATACAGGCACTGTCGTGTCAAGATAG